GCTCTATTCAAGGTCAGCTCGCTTGGTACTTCTTGTCGATCTCAAGTCCTCCTTCGTACAACAGCACCCATTGTTTCGTCAAGTCGGTTCCCATACAACAGGTTAGAATAGTATCTGCAGGTCACTGTTAATTGAATTCGCCAATACTGCTTCTCTTGTTTCTCGGGTTACCATCATTTTCTTTTTTTGCTTTTATTTTAGTAATTTTTTTTTATTGTTCATTTTTGTGACTTCACGCATTCTAGACTGTTAATTGTAAAACTATAAAAGGAGTTTGTTTTGCCAAGTACAAAGGTAAGAGATAAAAGCTAATAAGATGAGAAGAAGATAGGAAAAGGACAACAAGTCAGTGAGACTGAAATATACAGTGGGTGAAAAAACTCTAAACACGCAAGCAGATTTTTTGGTTTTTTAAGCACTGCATCGTCGTTACGTCACGCAGAAGGCTCAAACTTTGAGCAGACAGTCTTATTATCGTTTACAACAATATGTATAAATTTAAGGCTCCGAACTGACGTGTACCCGTAGCAATCAATGTTCAAAGTCAGACGGTCGGTTTTTAGAGTTTCTTCACTATGTCAGACATTCGCTGTTCGGAGTAATTGCACTGCACCCGTGACTGTCTATGACTCGTAGGTCTTACGAAGTGTATATATAGGCGTCTGTGCTTTATGTCGACCTTTCTTTTTTATTCTATAGCTCTTTTAATCACTACCTACTTCGTATGCCTAAAGCTCTTCCTCTTCGTATTCAAAACGATATCAAATCCGCTATTGCAGCTGGCAGAGAATCTTCAGACATTGCTCAGGAACTCGGAATAACGTATGCTACTGTTAACAAGTACGCAAACAAGTTTTTTCCCAACAGAGAAAAATCCAAAGGAGGTCGCTGTGGTATTTGGACTAATAAATGGCATACCAATAAGCTATTACACATAAATAATAATGAAGTAATCCAATTAGAATCAAGATAGATGATATCTATTTATAAATTGGGGACTCTCGCCTACGTGTGAATATTTATCATTGTGACAGTTATGAGTCTAAGAAAAATTTATTATTTAGACAACAGCTCGTCATACATCGCTATTGTCCCGTCAGCATCACCCCAAATATTGGTAATCATCATAGCTGAGATAACTTTATCCGATCATTAGGAAAAGTATAAATAGACTTCCGTATTTCATTCAATAAAGGACAACTTACTTTTAGTCTCGTTAATCATTTTGTCTATTTACCCAAATACTTCAACTACATTCATCCAATCAGGGCGTGTCATACATTATTTGATAGCTTTCGAAATAAGCTTTCAGAAGATATAGCATACATGGTATATTGGGGCATACGGAAGTATGCACAGACGTAAGTTTCCAAAAAGTGAAAACATGCGACCAATTTTGACGGCTACTGTATGATACCAAAGCTAAAGGGGTCCATGAATTGTGGGAAAGAGTAGAAAAGGAATGGAATTCTTTCACAAAAGACGATTGTAGAAAGTACATTGATAGCATGCCTGGCCGTATTAAAGCAGTTATTGATGCCAATGGTGGCTCAACCCGTTATTAATTTCATTTTTTAATAAATATGTTGCAGTGAAGAAACTCTAAAAACCGACCGTCTGACTTTGAACATTGATTGCTACGGGTACACGTCAGTTCGGAGCCTTAAATTTATACATATTGTTGTAAACGATAATAAGGCTGTCTGCTCAAAGTTTGAGCCTTCTGCGTGACGTAACGGCGATGCAGTGCTTAAAAAACCAAAAAATCTGCTTGCATGTTTAGAGTTTTTTCACCCACTGTAACTCTATCAGGGCAGATAATCTAAACCATAAAAAGTAGTAGCTTCCAAAAATTCGAATGGCTAGCATAAATAATAGAGAATCCTAGACGCCGGCTCCGCCGTGACATTTGTCCTTCCTATTTCATTCACCGTCACGACTCGCCCAACCCACCCCAAGTGCCACGTCTGGAATCTCTTTTCTTAACTTGCCATTTTCTACCCATGTGCCAGATGAACCCCATCTACAACTTCCTTTGAATTACCGGAGCTTCACCTGCACAACATGAG